GTGCTGACAACACCAAGTCAAGGGTTAAGATTCCCTTACCGGTCATCTTTTAAAAAATAAATAAATAAAATAAAATAAAATAAAATTATTTTATTAGAAGGCTCGCCCGTGGCTCACTTGGGAGAGTGNGGGGCGCGGGGTCCTCACTGCGCGCCCCCGCAGTGCTGCCAGATCCTGGTCGTGAACGGCGCGGAGCTGGACGTCCGCGACCGCGACGGGTACACGGCCGCCGACCTGTCGGACTACCACGGCCACAGCCACTGCACCCGCTACCTGCGCACCGTCGAGGACCTGGTACGACCCGGGCGCGGCTCACGCTGCGGGGTCTCGCCTCCCCCGCGCCGGCGGTAGGCGTGGTTAACCTTTTACCAGGGGGTCAGACAAGTGCGTGACCTTGACCACTACCTCAAGGACCTCTCGGCCCAGAACCACCGCCCCCTGGGGAGTGAGGGGGTAGATGCCGAAAGGACCAGGGGAAGAGGACAGGGAGGACCAGAGGTACCCTAAGAGCTCAGGCTGGGAGAACCACTGGCGACAGCCGAGTTCATTCCCCTGCGCGTGTGTCCTAGCTCATTTACCTCTCACAGCCGCCCTCTGAGGCAGGCAGTGTTACTGCCTCCATTTCACAGATGGATAAATTGAGTCTCCAGGACATCCAAGGTTCCACCACTAGTAAGTGGTGGAGCAGGACCTGCCTGGGACAGCCTGGCCAGCAGCCACCTCACCTGACCACCATGCTGTATGTTTGCTTACTTGGTAGCTACTTCCAAATTGGACACCTGTGTTACTCTTTTAAAATTATTTTATTATAGGGACGGCCTGTGGCTCACTCGGGAGAGTGTGGTGCTGATAACACCAAGGCCACGGGTTCAGACCTCTATATAGGGATGGCCGGTTAGCTCACTGGCTGAGCGTGGTGCTGACAACACCAAGTCAAGGGTTAAGATTCCCTTACCGGTCATCTTTTAAAAAATAAATAAATAAAATAAAATAAAATAAAATTATTTTATTAGAAGGCTCGCCCGTGGCTCACTTGGGAGAGTGTGGTGCTGATAACACCAAGGCCCCGGGTTCAGACCTCCATATAGGGATGGCTGGTTAGTTCTCATGGAAGACCGTGGTGCTGACACCACCAAGTCAAGGGTTAAGATCCCCTTACCGGTCATCTTATAAAAAAATAAAATAAATAAAATAAAATAAAATCATTTTATTATGGTTACACACCCATGAAGTGACCCACTGGGATTTGACCTCAGGTGTGGTGTGTCCAAGTCCAGGGCCCTGCCCCATCTGGTACAATAGCTGCTAAGGGGCAGTGGGGAGGAAAGAGGGTGGGCCTCACAGGCACCTTCAGAAGGACATTAGCCAGCTCTAGGGGACAGCCTGGCCACATGAAGGACTGTGAAATGACGCCTAGAAGAGGATGCGGAAGGCCCCTGCCCTGAGCACCATCTCTCCATCTGCCCTGTCTGTGAGCACACAGGGTGATCCTGGTTCTGGGGACTGCAGAGCACAGCAAGGCTCAGGGGTCAGAGACTGCGGGTGGACCTGAGTAGGAACTTCCCCCAGAAAGTGCCTCCCAAAGAGAGTGGGTGGCCCTGCAGGTAGTGAACACTCAGTCCCTGGGGTATACAAGCACGGCTGGACACTGTGAAGGGCATTTCTGTACCAGAGGTAGGTTCCTTCCAGCTGGGAAAGTCTGTGACTGTCGTGAGGCTGTGGGGATGGCACCAGAGCCCAGAGCCCTCCAACATCTCCCATCCCCCCTGCAAGCCTCTCTGGCTGCAGCTGCTGGCAGTAATACAAGCACCATTCACTGGATTCTGACTCTGGCAGGTACCCTGCCAAGCACCGTACAGGTGTAATCTCAGAAATCTTCACAGGTTAATCGTTGACATATATGGTGTTTATTTACTGGGTGCCATACCTTGGCACATCACTAACTTTTTAAATCTTTTTTGCAACCCGGTGGGGCAGGCTGTACTGTTATCCCCATTTACAGATCAAGAAACTCAGGCACAGAAAGGATAGGTGACTTGCCCAAGGTCATATCGTTAGTTAGTGGAGGAGGTGACATTTGAAGCCATGTCCCAGGCTGCAGAGCCTGGGTCCTGACCTCTGTTATCTGTTGCTCATGGGGGTCAGGACTGGGTGCCCTCTGTGGCCACTACTGTCAGCCAAGAAAAGAGCATCTTCCGGCTTCCCCTTGGCTCGTGGGGTAAGCAGCAAGACCTTGGCCCCCTGAACTGTGTGGGGTGTGAGAGTGCTGGCTCCCTCACCCAGGCAGGTGCAGCTGCGGCAGTGACAGATCCAAGCCACCAAGGATTCTGGCCCAGAAAAGGCAAACACTCCCACAGAGCCCCTAATTACGGGGCCAATGAGCGCGGCTGCTGAGCCGTTACCTGGTGCCAGGCCTGCCTCCCTCTCCCTGGGGGCCTGTGACACTTCTCAGGCAGGGAGGGGGCATGGGGCAGGGAGGAGCAGGCCTGGGCAGGAGACAGCGGAGCAAGCGGGCTTGCCGGCAGCAGGGACAACATGGGCAATGTAAGCAGGGCCCCCACCCCAGCCCGTTCCCATGCTGGGAGGGGAAAGGCCTATACAGGGTCAGAGGCACAGACGGTGGCAGGTTGGAGGTGGGGAGGATGACGGGCTTAGCAGCCTGAGCTCGGGCTGCCCATCCCAGCTCAGCTGGGCTACTCCAGGCCCCACCCTTTCCCCAGCGGCCCCATCAGGAGACAGGCTGGGCTGGTGTTGGGAGTATGCCCCAGGTCGGGCAAGGAGAGACAGGGGTTGCCAGCCAGGTAATGGGGAATGGGCCTTTCTTGTACCCCTCCCCACAGACGCACTGGAGCCAAAGCTCTGTGCCCACTGCTGAGGAAGAAGGCTGGCCCATGGCAGTTCTCCCCTTGGGGTGCAGCCCAGACCCCTTCCTCCCTGTCAGTTTCTCCACCCTCTGGAGCAGGGAGAGGCCAGGGTGGGAGTAACCCGGGGCCCTATGGTCCTACTGCCAGGGGCTAGAGGTGGGCTAAGCTTGAATCCTAACCTGGAAAAATACTTGAGAGACTTGCTAGTGATGGGGAAAGGATCCCAGAGAGGGACGTGGCTTGACCGAGGTCACACAGCCAGGGCATGCCTGAGCAGGACCCTGGCCTGGACGGTGGTGGTCTTCAGGGTGGGATTACCCTCTACAGCCCCCCTGCCTTCCCATCAGAGTGTGGAGCACCGCGTGCTGTCCCGAGATCCATCGGCTGAGCTTGAGGCAAAGCAGCCCGACTCGGGCATGTCCTCACCCAACACCACCATGTCGGTCCAGCCGCCAAACTTTGACCTCAGCTCGCCCACCAGCACCCTCTCCAACTACGACTCCTGCTCCTCCAGCCACTCGAGCATCAAGGGCCAGCGCCCCCCACATGGTGAGTGGGCCGACCAGGAAGGGGGAGGAGGGAGAGCATATTGGAATCAGACTCCTGGGTCCACCCTGCCCACAGCCCACAGCGAGGCTGCTCTCATCATTTGCGGTCTTGAACTCTGGGAGGGGACGCTTATGCTTGTGTGTGTCCACCAAACATTCATGTACGTTCACATGTACTCTCCTCCCACAAGGCACACATGCACTCTTCACACAATTCATTGTTCTCACCTAGCCACACTCAAAAGTGCACAGTCGTACATGTGTACACACAGCATACAGATACGGGGGCAAACAAACAACACACAATATACAGATATGAATGCACAAGCACACAGACAGGGCCATGCAGATATATGCACATACCTACATTACACACAGGCACACAATCCTCCATTTCCATAGCACAGACGTGCATGCACACACACGCACACATCACATCCACAAACCAATGCAGACACATTCATAAATACAAAGAATCACGTGCACAGGTATACACACACTCAAACACACAAATGCACAGATGCTCAGGCAGAAGCCAGGCATGTGTGTACACACGTGCTGACCACGCCCTGAGTACGGGTGCCCGTCCACCTGCGATGCCGCTTCACGCCGCCAGGCAGCTGCCTGCAGAGCTGGCAGGGGTGCCCTGTGAAGATCAGGTGTGCCCATCCGCACTCCTGCCACCTGCCCTGCTAGATCTGCCCTGAGGCCCTGCCCCTCCGCCCTCCAGGTGGCCCTGCTCTACAGATACACCTTGGAGCCCTGGAGCTTCCCCTCCAAACCTGAGCGCATGATCTTCCCCCAATAAGTGCAGGGCCGGGGGAAGAACTGGCCAGCACTGCCAGGGGCCACAGCGGGCTACTGCCCCTGAGCCTGCCTTGCCCCTCAGCGAGTTGTTTCCAGGTGGTGGAGAGTCTCAGTTGTGGGGGACAGCCTCTCTGCAAGCTCCTGAACTTGACATTCCCTCCTACTCCCCAGGGCTTCCCAGCGCAAGAGCTACAGACATACAGAGTTACATGGACATGCTGAACCCGGAGCTGGGCCTGCCTCAGTGCCAGATAAAGAAACCCACGCCGGCACTGCCACCGCCCAGCTTCCCTCCACCACCCCCGCCCCCAGGCACCCAACCGCCCCCACCCCCACCGGGTTACCCGGCTCCCAAGCCCCCCGTGGGTCTACGGGCAGCTGACATCTACATGCAAACCAAGAACAAACTCCGCCACGTGGAGACTGAGGCTCTCAAGAAGGAGGTAGTGAGTCCTCACCCTCGCCCACCTCCCAGCAGTGGGACTAGGCTGATGGGGGGCAAAGGAGGCCAAGGTACTGGAGGGATCCCTGGGCCCATGGCATGTTTGAGAGGTGAAGCTCTGGGCCAGTCCAATGGGGGCTCAGGGATGGACACTGGGGACAGAGAGATGAGACAAAGCCGCCACCCTTGTGGGGAGTTGGGGGGTGAAGGAACATATACCCCGATGCCATTGCCTAGCCAGGAACTGGGTCTGTGCCACCTCTTGCACAGAGTGTAAGGTTGTCACAGAGTTGACAGACAACATATGTAGAGTGCCCCTTCACAGACGTGCACACGCCCACAGCCCTGGGCTCAGGTGGAGAATGGCACCCCAGGGAGGTGTCTTCCAGGTGGCGTGGCTGTGATGCTGAGGGCCAGGAGGAGGGTGGAGGGAAGGTGGAGGGAGTGGGGGCTGCGGGAGGAGCGAAGCTGAGGCTGGCTCCCCGGTGTGGGGCTAGAGCTCCTGGGTGCGGAGGTGGGAGCCCTGGGGGAAGCAAGCTTGTGAGAAGGCGATGAGCCCAGTGTGGGCACATTGAATGTGAGGGACCTAGGGACGTGCACGTCTGCAGGCTCCTGGTTGAGGTTCTGGAGTAGGGGAGGGGGCAGAGGCCTGGTCTGGACATCTCTGATAGACCTTGGCAGGGAGGCCCAGGGGGAGCCCAGAGTACTGGCCAAAGGGACAGAGCAAGACTGGTCTGAGAGGTGGGGGGCCAGCCAGTGATCGCAGCTAGTCAGGTGTGGGGTAGCAGCCCCCAGAGTCCTGCTGAAGCTGGGACCTTGAAGTTCTCTCTCAGTCCCAAGGCAAGCCACCCCAGGGCGGAGTTGAGTAACCAATTTGCACAGGTGACCAAGGTCACAAGGCCACTGGGCAGGGGAGGCATGGAAGGGACACTGAGCCTCCACAGTGACTCCAGCCACCACTCCCTTCATGCCACCTCAGACCAAACTCTCAGGTCTGGGTCCCCTTTCATCTCTGTGACATGGAGGGGTCTTGGGCAGGGATGCAGGGGATCTGGGGCCGGGGGACTTTCACTTGCTGGCTTGTGGGCCCTGCCCAAAGCCACGGGATAGATGGCCAGGCTGGTGCCCCCTCTCCACCCGTGAGCCCAAGCACCAGGACTGCGCGGTCCCGCGCCCCTCCCGGCTGTGTGCGTGCCGGGCAGCAGGCTCCAGGGCCGCTCCACAAAAGGTCCTTTGTGCGCCCGCCGCGCCCCCCGCGTGGTTGCCCAGTCCCCGCGGGCGGGAGCAGGGTCGTGGCGTCCGCGCCTCAGGGGCTGCAGGGGGCGCCGAGGGGGCGGGCCGGCCCAGAAAACAAATCCTGCGGTGTCGCGTTTCCTGCAACGTGAGCCTGGTCGGGCGGGGCGCGGAGAGTCCGAGGCCACCGGGAGGACGCACACGGGCTGGGGGTAGGGCAGTAGGGCAGGGGACAGCACCCGCCTGGTCACTCGGCCTTTGGCCCTGGCGACTTCAAATCCCTCTTCCTGCCTGGGCTTAGCGGGGGACAGCCGCGACGGGGCGGGACGCTGTGCTGTCACCCGAGCCCACTTTGCCACCCCTGAAACCTGAGGCTTGGGCGCGGGTGTCGGTGTCGCTTAGGTGGATGGCCATGGTTTCCAGATGCTGGAGGGGAGGGCGGGGGCGCGACCCGGAACGGGGGGCCACATAGGACAGGCTCCACTGCCCGCGGTCAGGCCTCATCCTGTCTTGGGTAAATAAGTCGGGGGACGGAGGGCGGGGTGCCCGGGACCCAGGTTAGGGAGAGAGGCGCGGGGGCGGGGCCACATCTGGCCCGTGGGGCAGGCGCGGCGCAGCGGCCAGGTGTGGCGGAGGGAGCCGTGGGTGCCCAGTGGCATCCCCGACTGCTGGGGGATGCGGCCTGGGATTGGCGGGCCCTGGGTGATGTCAGGCCGACCGAGCCCATGGGCCGGGCTGTAACCCGAGAGGAAGGATCGGGTAACGCAGGTGTCGTGTCCATGCCGCCCCCGCTGCCAGGTGCACAGCGGGGGCCACCGGCACAGTCGCAGGTAGGAGCAGCCCCGGGGCCAGGTGGCCGGGGCCGTGGGCAAGCGGGAGCCTAACAGGGCACAGGCTCCCGAGAGGGCTCCCCCCGGGCCGGGACCCCCGCAGGAGAGGGTTCGACAGCGTCTTGCGGACGCAAGGTCTGTCTGGTGGCCGCGAGTGCGGTGCGGCCGAGGCCTTAGTGTCCGCTAAGCTGGGAGCTGCCCCTTCTCCGGCTCCCCCTGGCGTCTGGGCTGGGCCACCCCGCCCCTGGGCCCGCCCCTTCTGGCCTCCGTGGGGGCCCCGG